ATGATATTGAAAATATTGTTCAGATTAATTAAATTCTGGAAATTAAAAAGTTATATTAAATATATTGTTAGAATTAAAAATCCATATTACTACATTTTTTAATTAAGACCATGCATTAATTACTTTCTCTGTCTTGCCGTCCGGCTCCCTTCCTTGTCTGTTTCGCTTCCTTCCTTATGGTCGTCCACCCCCTTCCTTATCTAACGGTGGTAATCACGCAGAGGGCGTTTCTGGAAGCCTGTTGTAATGAGAAAATTTTGAAAATAAACATTAATGCATGGAGAGCAATTATGCAGCGTGATTGGTGGTTGCATTTCCGCTCACCATAATTGCATCTCTTCCCGGGATGAGATAGCATGTCTACCCATAAAAGGGTTGGCAAAATGACAACCCCTATTAATTATAGGTTTTTAAGGTAATTAATCTGTGTTGCATTTAATAATCTGTATGAATTAAAAACACATATTAATTACTTTCCTTTTTTCAGTGCACTGGTAGTTGTATCAGTGCACTGGTATACTGAACTCATATTAATTACGTTCCTTTTTTGGAACTACCATTGCAGTGATACATCTACCATTGCACCTGTACACAACTACCAGTGCACTGAAAAAAGGAAAGTAATTAATATGTGTTTTTAATTCATACAGATTATTAAATGCAACACAAATTAATTACCTTAAAAACCTATAATTAATAGGGGTTGTCATTTTGCCAACCCATACAAGGGTTAGCATGCTAACCGATCCCTCTCTTCCCCTATCATTTCTGGTTCTTTCCTCTCCAACCTAAACTACAGTCCTGGAAGCTACAAGATTTCCAACAACCGACCTACAATGGACGATTACAACATCAATGTTGACGGAGATACAATGGACTGCTCCATCAGCAACGACGACGACAAAGATGGGGTGGGTGCTGAGCTGTCGTGGCTATTTGGATTTGACCTGAACGTATCTATCATACACAAGTAACAGAGAAGACATATATGAGGCGAGAGTTGAACGGACGAAAAATAACGATGATCAACGAAGAGTTTCTAGAGAACTGCGAAAAGACAGGCAACGTTGACGATGACCTGTACGTGGAGAATGGTGAAGACGACGATGGCATTATGAATGTCGCTGGCATCAACAATCTCGGTAGGGTTAACCAGTGACGTTACGACTTCCGTTGAAGTGGTATCAGCAATTTAGTGGTACAACTAATGCGGCAACAAAATGTACCAGTAGTTCTAGTTCAAGTTACGCAGTAGTAGTTTTATGGTAGTGGTAGTCACCTTGTGGTCCTTCATTTCTACTGGTAGACATCTTGTGGTATAATTAACGATTTTGATATTATTATGCTGGAGATATTTGTTGGCTAGTGATACAATGTGATACTAGTGATACAATGTACAAGTGGTATTAGCCTACTCGTACCACTACACAGGTATAAGTGCCACTCGACTGGTACAAACACCACCTTGTATCAGTGGAGTGGTACATGTAACTATCTACCAGTTGAGAGTTAGTTGTACCAGTAGACTATACCACTGAAGATTTTGTGCTACCACTGCATAACAAGTCCACTAGTGCGAGTTGTACTAAAAATTGATAATAGTACTCAAAACCAATTGATATTAACTATTAATTAAGATGCACGAATAATGGTACATCTATTCACTTTAGGGATAACAACAACACTAAAAGTCAATTGTGGAGCGTCTTGCCATTGAGCCACTAACACTGCTCAATCATATTACACGTCTCATGAATCCAGTCACTTTGTGTGTTTTGGCCAGCGCCCATGTCTATCACGTTGGCTACGGTCTCCTAAAAGTTATTGCGCAAAGTGGACAATCAATGGAATCTTTGTTCTCGCCGATGAATAACATGGAATCTTTGTTGTCGCCATTCCTGCTAAAAAAAACATTGCATGGTACCCACAATGTTACCACTAATAAAACTATCATTGACTACTAGTACCAGCTTCGACTACCACTACCAGTAACACTAAAACATTTATAAACCACTGCTGCTAGTCCAAAATTCATTACAAGACTATCAATAGCAAATACCACTATTAAACTACCACTACACCTAGTATCAACAATACCATTTTAGCTAACTACCAGTACAACTTATACCAATGGTACCATACTAATAAGATACCACTATTTAACTACAATGGCAATTGATACTAGTGGCACAACTACCACTACAACTGATACCAATAGCGCTGCCCCTGAATTGATACCAATGCTACGAATAGAAAAGTACTAATCGATTATACAAACACCAAACAGGCAATCGAAAAAACTACCACTATTTAACTACGAAAAATGTCAGAGTTGCATGTTTTGATTCTAATGTTGCAATCGAAAAACAAGCTTATCACCTAAAGTAACCTCACCTGCGATGGTTTACACGACCACATAAAGGCACGACGGCGGAAGGATTGTCATTGATGCACTGAAACACCCCCAAAATTTACAGGTTAGCACTTCGACTAAAGTAACACAACGAGAAGAAACGTGAATACCAAAAGTCGAAGAAGGGGACAGAGTAGGGAACAACGTCATAAAAGACGAATCAGGAAGGGATAGGAAGATGAAAGGCCGAAAAAGAAGAATCAATGGCCATGGAAAACTTTACTTGAATTTTCTCTCACTAAACCATCAAGTCTTCGATTAAACACGAGACGGGGTAAGAAGGAAATGCAGAATTTTACCAGACCTCTCCACCGAACCACCGAGTTTTAGAACTAAGAACCGGAGCAGGGGAGATGTTAGAGGAAAAGAAAGAAACGCCGAAAATACTGATCGGAAGACGGTGGAAGGGAACGTTGTTGGCAGATGATGGAGGGAAGGGTTTCGGGAGAGAGGAGGTTTTGGGGAGACGAACAGTTTGTGGGGGAAGGGGCTGATTTTTCTCCCTTTTAAATTCTCCCTTTTCAAAAGCAAGGGGCCTAATTCAATGTGCCTCTTTCTTTTTTGCCCCTGCTCACTATCGACCGCTATATGGAGAGGAAGGGAGACGGACGACTGTGAAGGGGGAAACGAAACTGACAACCCCCAAGGGGTTGTCACGCTATCCGATCTCATTAGTATTTTAAAGTATTATATCATCGTTCTCGTACCAAAAAACAAACAAATATTGAATGTAATCCCCCACCATATACACAAAAATGTTGAAATGCGTTACTGTAGTAAATAATGTCAAATGTACCACTCCATTTAAAAAAAACAAATTGGTGTCTTTGTTCTCCATTTGCATTAGCATATTTGTACTAGGGCTGGCTATTTGGTCCCGGACTGTTTGGTTTTACCCGAAACCAGACCGTATAATCCGGACCGGGACCGGACTGAGACCGGATAGCAAACAATGCAATCTCATATTCAGGCTTAGATTTGAGGTAAAAACCCGGATAAGAGACCCCCAACACCTAAAATCAAGATAAAATTGGGACCGGACCGGGTCAAGACCGGACTGAATACAATCCAATCTTTGGTCCTTATATTCCCGAAAAGACCGGACTGAGACCGGATCAATTTGGTCCAATTTAACCGGCCCGGACCGTATAGCCACCCCTAATTTGTACAACATATATTGGAACTCCTTGAAGTCAAAAGAAAGTTATTACACACTACTAGTATCACTTTGAACTTAGCCATTCCCAGATATCTGATGTGCTCCTATATGTTGCCTTCCTCTTTAATTATTTTACAGGCAAGTTCAGGAGATGATGATATGACCATTGGAATGTCATCTATTCCAGGAAACGCTGGTTTGCTCAGGTAAGTTGAATTCTTAGTATCGTTTCTGTATGGAGATTGTTAAATTGATTTGGGTGAATGTGGTTGGTGTATCTGCTTTCATGCTTGTCTGTTATTGATTTTATCTGTTTCACTTCCTCCTTGAAGAAGAGCAAAAGCCTTGTGCAACAGCAACGTTGTTGCATTTTTCAAGGTTTCCTGTTACTTTTGTGCTTAGATGATGCCTGCTGTTTGTCCGATCAGAAAAGCAAAAAGAAACCTCTCTTTGTACATATGTCATGCTGCTGATATTATTCTGTGTTCAAATTCCGACTTCTCTATTAGTCTTTTGAAAATGCACAACTTACGCTTTTAAATAAGATGTGGATTTTAAGTAGCCTTTGGGATTTTAGAGGCCATTAAATGTTTAAACTTCTTTTCAATTGTCACAGAATGAGTTTTTCTTGGTCCATTCAATGTATAATTAAGGCAATGACTAAAACCTATGTTTATTCTTTTCTTTTTCTATAATGAAATCTCCTTATATTCTTCTGACAACAAAAAGTCTTCTGTATTCTGATGTGTTACAACTCTTGAGACATTTTTGGTACTTTTCCTGTTTATTTATATAGTACACCATGATATAGAATTTGGCAATTTGTGCTTTATATTTATTTTTGTAGATGGGCTGTAAGCTCTTTGACCCTGAAAGGCAAGCCTTCTGAACAAGCAGCTCCACTTGCGCCAGCAAATTTGGCCACTCCTCTGACTTCTGCTGCCTCTAATCATCTAATGCCAGCTCTGGTAACTACCCTGAATTCTTTCGGTGCTCTTAGTTGTGTAGTTGTGCAATCATACACAATTTAGTAGGTGCGCCAGTCAGCGTGCTTTTGTAGTTCATTTCAGACACATTCTGTAACTCTTGTGCAAATCCATACCATGAGAAAATTTAATGTTTGTGTTTTACATCTCTTGGTAGTTGACCCAATGTCCATTGAGATGCAGTGAACCCTAGGATGCCAATGCCTTAGATGTGCCATCGTTTGGCATGCACCGATAAGTTCTTGTCTCAATTTGATAGGTGATGTTGTAGAGTTAAAAACCCAAACAAAGGTGGGCTAAAGAGTTTTGCTCAGCCAAAAACTTGGAAGAGGATGAGATTTAATCTCAGAACTTTGCTTAACCGAACTTTGATTTCTTTTCATTTGTGTTGTGGCATTGTTCACAAACAATATCTGATACTGAAATCTCTGTCGGTCTCCAGTGATGGATACACATAGTACAGTGTCGGATCGTGCAATGTCTAGCATGGATTTTGCTGATCAACCAGAGCCTGGGTCACCGACTTCAACTGATGCTGATGGTTGGGGGGAAATCGAAAATGGAATTGGCGAAGATCATAACGTTGAGAAGGATGGTTGGGATGAACTTGAACCACTGGAAGAGCCAAAGCCATCCCCGGCTCTTGCAAGTATTCAAGCTGCTCAGAAACGGCCTGTTGTTCAACCAGTGTCACAGGCAAAACAGCCAGGTAATGTCATTCATGTACAGTGATGAAGCCTCAAACCCGCAAGTGTCACTATCAATCACTTCAAATCCAACATCCCTCTAGATGAGAAACATGCAAAATTTTATGTTTTATGTTTTGTCATGTATGTCGATATGTTTTTTCTCAACATTACCTTGAAACCTATGTCAAATCTAACTGCTCTTCTGTATTGTATCTCACCAACTTCAGCCACAAGTTTGAGACCAAAAACAACGGCGAAGCCACCAAGAGATGAAGATGATGATTTGTGGGGATCAATAGCAGCTCCTGCTCCAAAAATCGGATCAAAACCGTTGAATACTAAACCAAGTGCTTCTTTCGACAACGATGATCCATGGGCTGCCATCGCTGCACCTGCTCCCACCACGCGGGCAAAACCATTGTCGCTTGGGAGAGGACGAGGTTCCAAAACTACTGCACCGAAACTAGGCGCGCAGAGGATAAACCGGACAGGGTCGTCGGGTGGTATATAATTTAGTAACTCGGCAGCAATCGCGTGATCGACCCTTATCGAATGGTAGTCGTGTACGTCTTTTTTGGTCTCCACCTTAGCGACTGGTCCTGTTAAAATTACGAAAGTGCTGGTCGCCCGTTACTTTGTATAATTTTCTTCGAACATTTGAGTGGTAACATCATTCTTTTTTCTACCCTACAGATGGTATACAGGAAAAGTCAATGCTGTAGAACAAGTGCTTTAATTGAACAGGGAAGTCTTTCTTGTGTTGTCGTATAGAACTAGATGAAGAGTATGGTCGGCAGTGTTCAGATATACCACTTGTAAAACTGAGCTGTGTTTTTCGTGTACTCTTCTGAAGACGGTAATGGTTTTGAGAGGGTTACAAATACACAAAAATGTTTGAGTTGCACTACGGTAGAAAGTAATCTCAAATCTACCCGTCTACTATTGTGATAAGTATATTTGTGTCCCATACAAATTAGCAGTTTGTATGCACATACATTTTGAATTTTTAAAGGTTGTCAACTCGGTTAGCATGTTGGTTTGCTTGAGCAAGTGGGTTGATAGTTGATGATTTGATTGTTTTGGTCCGAGTTGATATGAATATATAGAAAAAAAGTCATTATATTGTTAATATATTATAAATTATATAAGGGGTAAATGTCAAGTTTGGTCACTGGATTTATTAAAACATCATGTTTAGTCACTGAAAAAGTTAATATCAATTTTAATCATTCGAATTAGAAACACGGCCACGTTTAGTCACTCTCCTTTAACTTTATTTGATGTGGCAGTCAACCCTAACAGTTGACCGTTAAATGTATGATGTGTCAAATAAAAAATTAATAAAAAAATAAATTAAATTCTTATTATTAACTTTCCCTTCGTGACCACGTCATCGTCGTCGCAGACAATCGGACTCGAAGCGGGTGTCTTCGGGGTTCCCACCGAAGTCTCCGTCCGAACATCATGATCAGACACCGACTCGGACTCCAAATTTCGATACTGATGAATGAAAAACCTAGGGATGACAAAAATATCCGTAACCATGGATATCCGTCCGAACCCGGCCTAATCGGGTAGGGTAAAACCCGAACCCGAAGGACATTTAGTGGGTACGGGTAAAACCCGAACCCGAATATTATGGGTAATGGGTGGGCATGGGTTTCTCACTATCCAACCCGAACCCGCCCGATTATACACATACATATGTATTCTGTCTAGAAATAATCATTATTTTTCTCTAACATATTTTATATTTAGCATATAAATATAATATTTTTCATGAAATTGTGTTGTTTTAATTAATTTTCTTCATTCTAGTGAATTATTGTCATACTTTTCCTCTTACGTAATGTGAGAATATGTGTGAATGTTAACATACTGGTTAGAGTTATGAAGAGAAATCATTACCCATGGATAATTGATAGACCAATAATTACACATGTTTTCACCCCATTCTGAAGTCGTTTGAGATGTGGATTCTAGTGTTTTAAGCCGATTTCACGCTAGGGTATGTGTTTATGTCATATTTCAGGTCCCGGCGTTGGAATCGAGGCGGAGGAACGAGTTCTGGGTCGAAAGGAGCGAAGTTGGGACAAAGTGAGCCGCAGGAGGAAAATACCCGGTCAGGTGGCCAAATACCCGACCGGGTATTCACTGTTTTGGGCGCCCGAGAAACAGAGAGGGGTCCGGGCAGATGACTTAAATCCATGGTCGGGGATTATGGAAAGTGACCGGGGGTTTTAGCTTCACCAAAGCGGCGCGTTTTGCATATACCCGGTCGAAACCCAAAATACCCGACCGGGTATTTCGACCGGGTATCGCGATCTGGCAGCTGATAAAAGGAAAAGAAGGCCAACTTTCAAAGGGTTCCGAGTTTTTGAGAGAGAAAGCGATCCCTAGAGAGAGAAAGCGACGAACCAGAGTTCCCAAGTGCCATAGCTTGATCTTCATCACCATTGGAGCCCGGCTTGAGCTTGGAGAAGTGTCGATTAAACGTCCAGGAGCATAAATCCATCTTCACAGTATGATTTCCGCGTCTGAATCTGCTTTTGCCTCTTTCTCTATGGAGTAGCTTCCCCATTCATCTGGGTACGGGGAACCCTAGATTTGTATGCTAGGTCTGATTGTATGAACCCAAGTACAGAGTTTGTGAATTGATTATATTCGATTGAGGTTTGAATGATTGAATGACTTGAATCCTGATCAAATTCCTGTTGTTTCTGCTTTGACCTAGAATGAGAATATCTGCCTAGGTTGATAGAGTATCCTTAATCGAAGGTGGCGAATTGGTGACTTTAGTCGAGGAGCCAATTCGCTATTCTGTACCGAAGTCAATTCGGTAGTGGAGGTTTGGTTCGTTAGAGCCTCAATCTGTTTACTCCGGTGGAGGTTAGTCGCCCGCTAGAGACTCAGATTGAGAGGGTCTGGAGACCTTTAGTCGAGACTTCAGGCTAATTAAGAACCTTCCGCAGTATAACTTTCATGAAAACTGAACTTGGTAAATTGCAATTCGACTTAACTGCAGTCTAGGGGGAACCATATCCGGGTGACCTCTCTTGACTTAACAACAACCGTTTACTTGCTTTGTGTTTTGTTTGTTTGAATTTGCACTAAAAGTTCACTGCTAGATAACGAGAATTCACCGAGTAGTCATCACATCTAGGACCCGGGTTGACAATAAAACCCAAACCCGCTATACTACGCTTTAGGAAGTGGTTACACTTGGCCATTTTCTAGAGTGACAGTAGGAGTGAGTCAAGTTTTTGGCGTCGTTGCCGGGGAAGGCTAGGTTGTTGAAGAAAAGTGATTTCTGTTACTTTAGCATCTTCATTTTCGCATTGAGTGTTTGTTCTTTCCCACTTGTGCCTTCACGGGTTTGCATTGCTTGATTGTGTGTAGATAGTGCATGACCCGTAGCCAGTCGGGAGGTTTACTGCCGTTGAATCCTGAGATTGAGCGCACCTGCAACCAACTTCGGAGACAACAGCGAGCTAGACTGGCTACGGTGGAACGCAGAGACGGCCAATTGAGCAGCGAGTCCGAGGACGAGTACGAGATGGAAGGCGATCAAAACCCACCACCGGTGAACCAGATCCTGGGGAACGACCCCAATCCCCAGGGAGCTGGGGCCCATCATCATCTACCACCACCGGGTCCCACCTTGGAGTACTACTATACTCCACGGATTGCTGACATCCGCCCGGTCATCCTCTATCCGCCCATTCCTGCAAACAACTTCGAGATCAAGCTATGTTGGATTCAACTCATCACATCCTCTATCCAGTTCCATGGCTTGAAGGATGAGGAAGCCCGGGTACATCTTTCCCGTTTTCTGCAGCTGACGAACGGGTTCAAGCTGAACGGTGTCCCGGATGACGCAATCCGCCTTCACCTCTTCCCCCATTCTCTGGCGGGGAATGCTAAGAGGTGGCTGGAGACCCAGCCCCCATTGTCCATCACTTCTTGGGACGATCTGGCTGACAAGTTCGTGCACCGGTACTATCCGGCATCGAAGACCACATAGATTCAGCGGGAGATCACTCACTTCCGCCAAGAGCCAGATGAGTCACTTCGTGATGCATGGGAGCGGTACATGGGATACTTCTGGCAGTGTCCCCATCATGGCTTCAGCGATGCTTTCACAGTGGGGAACTTCTACAACGCCCTCACTCCAGACAGCCAGAGGGTGATTGAGTCTCTATGCCCAGGAGGGGTATCCTTACTAAGACTCCACCCGAGCTGAACCAGATGATCAGTACCTTGGCTGCCCGAGATCATTCTTGGGGCCAGAACAACAGAGGCAGGAATTCCCGGGACCGGGGTGTGCATGCTATGGAGGCCAGGTCCGGGTTAGAACAGCAGGTGGCTGAGTTGGTGCAGACATTGAAGCAGCCTAACAGTCTCCTTCCGGGCCGAGGTGTAGCTACGCCTCCAGTAGCTCAGTGTCAGTGGTGTGAGAGCCCGAATCACCTGGTGGAGGATTGTCAGTCTATGAGGGAGTCCTCTACTCCCCAAGAGCAGGTGGACTTCATAGCAAATGCTCGGCGCCTGGACCCATACAGCAGTACCTACAATGAGGGATGGCGCCAGCATCCCAACTTTGCCTGGAGCAGCAACACCAACAAACCACCTGGCTTCCCAGCACCAGCGGGTGGTTTTCAGCAGAGGCAGCCCTTCCAGGCTAGGCAGGGGCCACCACCACAGCAGCAGCCCTACCAGCCTAGGCAAGGGCAGCCATTCCAGCAGCCCCAGCGCCAGTTTGCTCAGCCTCCAGCAGCCACAGCTCCAGATAATCAGATGGCTGATCTGAAGAACATTTTGCAGGCTTTCATGACCACCAGTCAGGCGAATTTCACGAGGATGGATGAGAACATAGCCTCACTGGAGGCAGGCCAGAGAAACCAAGGTGCCATTATGCAGGATCTACAGAATCAGATTGGGAGCTTAGCTCGCCAGAACACTACCAGGGCACCGGGGACTCTGCCTGCCACCACTGTTCCTAATCCTCGTGACCCTATCCAACAGCTGGACGCCATCACCACCAGGAGTGGCAAGACCATATCTGCTGCTCCTGCCCAGCCCAGGCGAGACGACCCACTACCTGCTTCAACACCTCCAGCTGACACTGCAGAAGTGGGGGAAGGCAGCGAAACACCTGCTCCCAAGCCGCAGCCTGTGGTTAAGGAGCATACACCCCAGCTGCCCTTCCCCACTCGACTTCATAAAGACAAGCTGGAGACAGAGTTTGCCAAGTTCATGGCAATGTTGAAGCAGGTCAACATCAGCATGCCGTTCGTGGAGGCACTGTCGAAGATGCCCAAGTATGCCAAGTTCATGAAAGACCTCCTCACCAACAAGAAGAAACTTGGGGATATTTCGACAGTGATGCTCAGCAAGGAGTGTTCTGCTATCCTGCAGAACAAGCTGCCCGAGAAGCGCAAAGACCCAGGGAGTTTCACTATCCCTCTTGTTATTGGCAGCATGCATGTAGGAAAGTCCTTGGCGGACCTAGGCGCTAGCATAAACGTCATGCCCTATAAATTGTTTAAGAAGCTAGACCTAGGTGAACCTAGAGCTACTAGGATGAGCATTCAGTTAGCTGATCGTTCTATCGTGCATCCTAGGGGTATCATTGAGGACTTGCTTGTTAATGTCGGTGCATTCACATATCCTGTTGATTTTGTTATTTTGGATATAAATGAGGATGTGGATGTGCCTTTGATTTTGGGTAGACCATTTCTCGCCACCGCCAAGGCGCTTATTGATGTGCATAGTGGTAAATTGATCTTGCGTGCTGGTGATGAACAGGCTACTTTTTCTGTGTCTGACAATGGGAAACATTCTCATTTGCATGATGACATAGACTACTGTGATGTGCTTACCGATTTTGAGACCACACTCGCCATCACGAGTGCGGGTACTGATGATGCTCTTGAGCGTTGTATTTTGCTAGGTGAGCAGGCATCGCAGGAGCCGCAGCTGGCGGAGCAGTTGGCCGCATTGGAGAGTGGCCCCTTCTTGGAG